ACATCCTTTCGAAGTTTGCTTAGTACGCCAGTATACGTTGGTCCAGTTGCGGCTCGGATTACCATTGTAGATCTAATCGTTACTTTCTTCTTATTGGTTTGCTTAGGATTTGTGGGTACCGTCACCTTCGCAATCTTTCTGACAAGAGGCGCCTCATCTTGCTTTCTCTTCTTCACCTCGGCGTTAGCCCTCTCCGGACTGCCACATCACCGGGCTTAAGGTATCTGCCTTGGATATCAAGGGTTATGTAGATTTTTCACTTTTTTCGTAAAAAAATAATAATTATTATTATTACATTTTACAAGTTAGAAAGTATATTAATATCATTTTTTAATGACAAATCTGAGTTTTATTTAATAAGACTTGAGTAAAAGTGGAACGCCATTTTTTGAAAAGTACTAAAAATTGCCGATTTCAACGTTAGAAAAACATTGATAACTTCAAAAAACCGAATTTTTATTGTCATATTTTTCTTCACTTATAACTAAAATATAGAAATATTAATTTGTGATAATTAAAATTAACGTATATTTTTAAAAATTTTACTCTAAATAAGAACGCCAATTCGGTGTTTTTGACAGTCTGGGCCGAGGAGCGTGAAACGCTCGCTTATGAAGTGGTTACACTTGTTGTCTGTTAAGGAACTGTTTTTTACCCATTAAGGCCTATAGAGTACTCAGCGTTTCTAACGTCAAACTAACTATTGGATGCAGAGCATAACCGAAAAAAGATACACTTATTTTTTCTTTTTGCAAAATAATTTGTTTATCTAATTTGTTTAAACAATTTAATAAAAAAAATTCTAATTTTAAATAACCAATACCGCCATTCGAAAGAACGTGGGAAAATAAGCAACCGTTTCCATGGCAACCGTTTCCATAGCAATTCACAAATAATGTAATTATAAATTATTTATTATATACAAATAACTTTTGATCTGAATTTAAAAAGCCACGAAACCTTTGTTGTAGGCGCTTTGCACCTGCTTCTTTTCCTGATTTTTATTGGTTAAAAAAGATTGCTTCATTTGAAATGCCAAACTTTAGACCAATGACATAACATGCTTTTTAATAGCTTTCCCGATGCCATTTAACTGCTTTTTAGCAGCTACCCTAACACTAAAATTAGGCTTTTTACTCAATTTCATAAAGCGTAGGATATTTGACTGGGGAGGAAAAATAAGCAACTTTCCTCTTTACAACTTTTTTATTCGCTCACACCTTTTTGCAATAAATTATTACTTTCGAATAGCGGTATTGGTTATTTAAATTTCGAATTTTTTTATTAAATTGTTTAAACAAATAAGATAAACAAGTTATTTTGCAAAAAGAAAAAATAGGGGTAACTTTTTTCGGTTATGCTATAATCCCAATAATTAGTTTTGTTGATTTTGCAATTCTTAGAGCATGAGTTGTATCGTACTTATTTTTGCTAATTGTTTATAATTATTTATTGAAAAATGGTGTTAAAAAAGGTGTTTTTTAGTACCATCATAGAATATTATCTTGCTGTAAGCTTATCTTGAGCAGACACATGAGATTCGCGAACTTTACAGGTAACTTTAAGATAAGCTTACTCAATAAGCAATAAATGTCCACATGTATAGTGTGAATTGTCACCTTATTTTAGTTTTTAATTTGCTTTACGATGGGTGATACCTCACCTTCGAAATTTGTTTTTATTTTTGACAAATAATTAGACTTGTTACTAAGGTAACTAATTAAATTTAATTTAACTAGGTAATTATTTATTTATATATAAAAATAAGAATTTTATAACTTTAATATTTTTTATAAGAAGTTTTATGTAGTTTGTGAGTGATTAATTTATTTTAATTTTGTTTAATAAAGTGGCCTGATGATGGTGTCAAACCAATAACCAAGACAACGAAACGTTGCCAAACAAGTGATTTGGTGTTTCATTTCTCACTTCCAATAATCGAAAAAAACTCAATTTGCAAATGTCCATATCTGTAAGCCCTCACATCAGGGCTTGCGTAAGCTTACATATTAACGTTCAGGTAAACTTACACGGTAATGTTGTGGTGAGTTTATATTGTAGAGTTATTCTAAGTGTGGTGTAAGGTTATTATGTAAGCATAAATATAATTAATACTTTCAAATTACACAGCCCCACAAAAAAAAAAGTTTCATGTACTTTTGACCGGAATACCCTAACCCTATGTATTTTGACGCGCTGAACACGAATCCGAAGTCCGTTTTGCTCCATCACGTCAGGATTTTTTTCTAACCTCAAAAAACATGTCGGATTTTGAGAAGTAGGCGATTTTTTTAAAAATTGATGTATTAACTTCAGACTTGGTATCTGGGGGTTTTTTGTGTCGCTGATTACGAATCTGAAGTTAGATTTTCAAAATCAAAAATGGCGGATCCAATATGGCGGACGAATTTTGAAAAAATTTTAAGATTTACTTCAAACTTGGTATCTAGGGGTTTTTTGGGTCGCTGATTACGAATCTGATGTCAGATTTCCGAAATTCGATGTCTGATTCAATATTAAGGAATTATTTTTAAAAAATTGTCAGTTTATTATGAAATTTGGTATCTACAGGTTTTCTAAGTTGCTGACAAGTAACACTAGGGAAGTGCCATACGCCGATTTTTCTGAAACTTGGCAGTTTTGTAGTTTTTTGAAAACAATTTGACACGTATGTTTTGTTTTTCCCCAAAAGCTGATTTATGGGGGGGAAATACCCGTTGAATTTTTTTTGGTAGGGGGACATTATTTTACGAAATTTTTCAAAAATTAATGTGCAATAGTGTATCTGGGGGTTTTTTGGGTCACTGATTACGAATCTGATGTCAGATTTCAAAAATTCAAAATGGCATATCCAACATGGACTTCTATCGGCCACATTAGATACGCCATTATCAATTTTTGAAAACTGACATCAGATTCGTAATCAGCGACCCAAAAAACCCCTAGATACCAAGCACGAAGTAGTATAAGGAGACGTAACGCCATGCATTCAAAGCAACCCCAAATGCGTGTCCTAGAGTTACTAAGGTTTTCGAATAATGCTCTTGTAGCGCCTCTACTGAGATAAATCGGAATCAAAATATGTCGTCTGCTATCGCGTAAACAACTGTAGTTGACAGCAAAAGTGTTTTGATCACGAAGTGGTTTTGATAAAATATTGTGTAATAAATAAATAATAAAATAAATATTGTGAAATATTAAATACTGTTGGAGCCGAAAAAAAACTTCGATTTTCTCCATTTTTTTCTTCTTTTGTAGTTATTTTTGATCCACATCCTTTTATAAAACATGACATTTCACTGATAACATTAACAAAGCACAAAGTGCAAGCGCGAAACACCGGTTCAAGACAATTTGTCAGCACATGCGAGCACGTGATAAATTTTAATTCTCTATTTCTCCACGCGCGGCGTCCTTTCACCACAATCTACTATGGGCGTTACGTCTCCTTATACTACTTCGTGATACCAAGTTTGAAGTAAATCTTAAAATTTTTTCAAAATTCGTCCGCCATATTGGATCCGCCATTTTTGATTTTGAAAATCTAACTTCAGATTCGTAATCGTTTTAAAAAAATCGCCTACTTCTAAAAATCCGACATGTTTTTTGAGGTTAGAAAAAAATCCTGATGTGATGGAGCAAAACGGACTTCGGATTCGTGTTCAGCGCGTCAAAATACATAGGGTTAGGGTATTCCGGTCAAAAGTACATGACACTTTTTTTTTTTGTGGGGCTGTGTTATTCATAAAATTTTTTTTTCACAAACCCCATCGGGGTCTCTGAACTACTTTACAAAATATGTGTCCTGACGCGGTGAAAGGGACCTTATGGTCCAATTGCAAATTGTACTTTAAATGTTCATAATAAAAAATGAATTGAACAAAATAATTTCTAATTTTTGGAAATCAAATTATTTGAGTTGCTCTTTTATTTCCAAAAACTAGAAATTATTTTGTTCTATTCATTTTTTATTATGAACATTCAAAAGTACAATTTGCTATTGTACCATAAGGTCCCTTTCACCGCGTCAGGACACATATGTATATAATTTTTTATACAAAATGTGTATTGTAATATATATTTTAATACAATTAACTCTTATTAAATTTGAATAATTATTTTAACCTTACAGTAAGCTTACATCACCCAGGGGCAAATAACCATGTTCGTTCCAAAAACGTTTATAGAACGTTTCATGTCAGCCAAAAATTGTTCTAGAACATTATTTGAACATCCATGTATTTAAAATATTGCAGAATATTACTTGGTGAACATGAAACGTTCTTAAACGTTTTTAAAACGAAGTTGGTTTTTGCCCACTGTGTATAAACTTACCAAAACTGTACTGTGTAAGCTTACCTGAACCTTAACGTGTATAGTTACCTCAATCTTACCGTGTAACTTTACAAATGAGGACATTTATTACTTATTGTAAACTTATCTTAAAGTTACCCCTGAAGTTCACAAATCTCACACATATGCTTAAGGTAAGCTTACAGCAAGAAATGTGTTATATAACTTTATTTGTTTATAAAATATTTCATTTTTTTATTAACATTAATTAATTAATTAAAAATTATAATTATTATATAAGGGGATACAAAACATTTTCATTTATATGATTTCGAAAGGCTTTTTCATGCTTTTTAGAATGGTGTAAAAATTTGAATTTTTTTATCATTCGAAAGAAAGGAAGAACAATTTCGAAAACAAATAGGTCAAAATTGTTTTCATCTTATTGTTAAAAAGTTATAACTCTTTAAAAATTCTCTGTTCACACTTTAAAAAAATATTCAACCCCCTCCTCCTACAGTTTTCGACAAAACCTAACAATACTTCGTGGTGAAAGTATTCACCCATAGGGCTAAACTATGTGCCAGTTACAACTCGATCTGCCAAACTTTTTTTAACTTCATACGCTACAAAAATTTTACCCCCTATACTATATTTTCGTATTTATTTAAATTATCTTTAACCCACTTGTGTTTCTTGTGTTTCAGGTCGCCTCTTGAAAGTTGGAATTCAGCAGGATTACTTAATTCTCAACTATCGTTTATTATAATATCAATCTTCTGCCATCAGATTTTAATATAATTAAGAATATGTCTATGTGGCATTGTTTGGAAAAAGAACAATTTAAAATAAAAGTCCATAAGGATAATATACATACATCGTACTATATATGTGACCTGAAATTAAGAATACTATTTTAGCTCTGTGCAATGCGTGATTACCATACTGACAGGGGTCAAACTTTTTTACATTAAAAGTTTCAAATTAAAAAAAATTTTGTTAAATTTTTAACCCATTATCCCTCTAGTTTTTTCTCAAAAGTATTTAAACCTGTTTCTTATTTCGGCAGAATTTTACTCCTCCAAAAGAATTTTGGGAAAGCTATATTTCTCTGATATACAATTAAAAAATGTCCCATACTCTATATTCTTTATTTGTAAATATGGAAATGCTATTATAAATACAGAAAATAATGTAGCTGTGGTACTTCTTTATTCATTACTCATGTGAGACAAATATAGATATCCGAAATTCTTGTCGAGAAGTAAAAGGCTGTTTTGTAATAAAAATAATTTTGGGTACCTTTAAAAATATTTTACTAAGAAGAGAATGGGTTAAAAAGACTTTTAATTTTCTGTTGTTTTATTCTAAATTTTTTTTAAATTTCATTTTAAGAAATATTTAAAAAAATGTTTATTTCACGGTTTTAAAGTTCAAAAAATTCTGAACAAAAAAATATGCATATTTATTTATATATTTTGTTGTTCCTAGGTTACACATATACTACGCCATATATAATTTTTATTGTTTTTTATTTTACAGCTGGAACTTTCTCCAAATAATGACATATACAAGTTATGCAATTTTCATAACATTTAAAATTTTGCTTAAAAAAAACTTATATTGTTTGTATTTCATTTATAGAGGTAAATTCTAATACTCTTTACTATTAATTGTATTAATTTAATATTTAGAAGCATTTTTATTCGTTATAATCCCCACAGTACCGAAACTTTCCTAAAGATTTATTTGAAATGTTCGGAATATTTAATTGCAATGTTTAGTAAAAATTGGGTAAAGATTTAAATATCCCACTTGAATAAATGTTCAGGAAAGTTTTAAACTAAACATTTATTTAATCGGGACATTTAAATCTTTACACAATTTTCACTAAACATTGCAATTAAATATTCCGAACATTTCAAATAAATCTTTAGGAAAACTTCAGGAAATTTTCGGTGCTATGGGGGAAGTTTCTAAGTCTGCTAATTTAGTACAGTAATAGAAAACTAATTTTTGTACAGTGAACACAGTCACAGTGTAAAAACTCATTTGCACATATTAATATCACGTTTCGCGTTCATTTAAATTATAAAGTACACAAAAAACTTTTTATATAAAAACTAAACTTTCTTATAGTATACATAACCACTGATTGTATAATGTAATGTAAGAAAATTAAATTATGATTATAATAAAACATAGTTAATTTTTAATAAAATTGTTAATTTATCACTTGATGTTAATTTTATATGTTTAATATGTTGAATTTTTGAAAATGAAAGTTTGTTGTACAAAGTAAAATTTTGAGAACTTATTACTCGACTTATTACAAACAGATTGTCCGTTACCATCCTAGTCAGGTAACTGGAGTTGTAACCCAGTACCTCAATAAAGCAATTTACTCTAAGTATCGGAGGTCTAATCCTTGAAAAATTCACAAAATCACGTTTGCAACATAAACTTGTTTTTTAATAAATTATATTGTTCCCCAAAATATCTGCTAGAGAAAATTTTTATTTTTAGACTATTTTCATTTGCCTTAAGGTTATGTGACTGTTAGGTCAGTAATGTTAATTTGTCCGTAACTTTTCCCGTAAAATGGTGAATGAATTGAGCTAAAATTTTGTGGAGGAATTTAAAATTTGATCTCTTATTTTCTATTTATAATTTTAAAACTCTTTTTTCCTATTTATCAATTTTTCTTCTTTTTTTATCCATAGTTTTCAAGCTCTCTTTTCCTATTGGTTAGAAAATGCACCACCGGCAATCTGATTGGTTGAAAAATAATAGAGAGAATAAATGCTTTCTATTTTATCGGGTATATATAGACTATTCTTGAGCCTAGATTTTCATAATTGATTCAAATCGTGTTCTGAATCATACAAGGTTTTTTTACTCTAATCGCTTGTGACTACAAATAAAAGTGAATTGTAATCATTTGAACTTTTGAGTTTCGCAAAAAGTGTTTAACTAATTAACAATTGTGAATTTTCAAAGAAAAGACTTATTAACAATTGTGAATTTTTAAAGAAAAGACTAATAAACAATTTTAAATTTTCAAAGAAAAGACTAATTAATAATTGTGATTTATACAATTAATTAAACATTGAAACTTTAAATAAAATTGGTTTTTTTACTTAAAAGGGCTTTTTTCATTTAAATTGAGTGTTTTATTTATTAATTATCCTAAAAGAATAATTATCCAAGAAAGACTATATAAATTTCAAATATATTAAAATTTGAAATCAAATTCAGTATTCGTTTTCAAACGAACTTTGCGGTCCTAGGATCCAGCCTGTAATTGGTCGCGCTGTTCGGTGCTGACGGAAATCCAGTTAATAAATTGTAGGACGTGACATATCCAAATTTTTGGTGACAGCGGTAAGATACCGTACTGAAAATCCTGAATAAAAAAAATCATCATCAATTATCCAAGGAAGAATGTAAATTCTTCTGGAGTCAATTAAAGTAGGTTTGATGTAAATTTCTGCTGGCAACTTGCCGTAGCAACCGATGGATGTCGAACCGATAAATGATCGTTATCGGTCGATAAAACTCAAATAACTAGAAGTTAGTTTTATGCGAGACATGCAACATTCTTCTGTTTTTGATCGGTTCGTATCGTTCGAAAAGAACGATCAAACATTTGATCTGTCAAAACGTAGGTTAAAATGTAACATCTTAATTAATTAAATCGAAATGGAGAATAATAAGCGCTTAAACGAGGAAGATTTGATGATGCATAATCCGTCGGCAAGGTTTCTTCTAATGAAATTATTAATTGATAACTATTTACATGATATTATATAAATTTAGTTATTTAATTTTGTTTCTGCTAGGTATTTTTCAAAATATATATTTGTATTTAAAGAGATAATACACCTGGCTTAATTTATCTTTATATTTAATTATTAGTGCTCAGGAAGAAAGTAACAGTCGATTTAAATGTAAAAGAAGAAAACAGGGTGAATTATCGTTAGGAGAGTCTTTCGAATATTTTGTTTAAAATAACACCAAGGTAGGCAAATGTAAATTGTGTGCTCCTGAAAACGAAATTATTATTAAAATGAAGGACAGCAATACTACAGGAATAATGCGTCATTTACGGGACGAACATCCAGAAGTATACGCAAAAACCTATACAAACAAAGATAGGACTTTGAAATCAAAAAATCAAGTAATTAAATTTACATTAGATTTATTCCGTTTTTTCGTTGCTCTTATTTAACAAAATTAAAATTTTTTTTCGTAGTCGTAATATATAATAAATGTGAGTAAAACCATTTATAGTTGGGAATTTTTTATCTTAAAAGCAAACTATACCATATCAATATTTGAAAGAGATTTCATTACTTTTTGTGACTCCAAATTAAATCACATTAAAAGAATAGGTTATAACTCGAAAGAAATGTCTTTCATGTGCATAAAATTGAGATTAAAACTAAAACTCAATGTGATTTTAGTTTCTTTTTATCACTTTTGTTATTAAATACAGTTGACTCTCGATAATTAAACTCTTGATAATTTGAATTTCTCGTTAAATTGAAGTAACAGTCCAGTCCCTTGAAAAACTCTTGGTAAATTGAAAATAAACAATGGTTTTATGTACTCTCGATAATTAAAAGTATCTTTTGGTCAATTTCTCCATTCACTCTCTATATATTGAATTCAGCCAGACCAAACTCTCAATAATTTGAACTTTTCTTGCGATACAAATTTACATATTTACGTACAAAATATTCTCTTCTTAATAATAGTTATTGTATTGTTTCATTTGTCAATACAATACCTAATTACCTTATTATTAACAATGCTGAGTAATTTCTTAATTCATTTTGCTATCTGCCTCGGTTTATATCGTTTAAAATGTTTCTAAGAACCAATAAAAATTTATCTTTTTCCGAAAGGAAAATAGTTATTGAGGTGGTAGAGAGAGGAGCAACAAAAAAAGATGTCACATTGAAAGAGGCGAGATCATCTTTGAATGCTTTGCACTCATATGCACTTCGCGTGGAAGTCGGAGAAGTTTTTACAGATCTAATGGCAATTGAAAAAAATATATAGATATTGCACGTTTGAGTACATTAAAACAAAAAAGATTACATAGACTATATCCAACTGTAAAGAATGTCTTTTTAAAATACGTAAAAATTAAATTTTCAATACTCTTGTTATTTTGAATTTCCCCAAATTTCCCCTCGATAATTAAAACATGCGATAAATAAAAATCTCGGTAATTTGAACTGTTTTTACGGTCCCTTGAAGTTCAATTTATCGAGAGGCGACTGTATTACTGTTTTAATTTTTATATTAAATATTAAGTGTATTACCCAGTAAAAAAAAAATAATTGAGAGTAAGGAAAAATAATTGGGAGTTAGCTTACTTTGTATTCGGTTTGGCGTCTAAACCGTGTAGGGACGTTACGGCCAATTATTTTTTCTTACCCTGAATTCTTTTCATCTGGATTGTTTGAATTGATGTTTGTTGATCAAAATTTGCAATACAAATGAATAGAATGCATGTTCCAAAGTGTCAAAATGCCGATTTGGAATAAGAAATGTGAAATTTTATGAAAACGACAAAATGTGAAATATGACAGATTTATCGACAATTTTACCATGTGAGTAGTGTTCATATAATAAATTTACCATACGAGCACTACTCACATGATAAAATTGTCGATAAATCAGTCATATTTCACATTTTGTCTTTTTCATAAAATTTTACATTTCTTATTCCAAATCGGCATTTTGATACTTCGGAACATGCATTCTATTCATTTGTAATGCAAACGTTGATCAACAAACATCAATTCAAACAATCCAGGTGAAAAGAATTCAGGGTAAGAAAAAATAACGGTTTACACGGTTTAGACGCCAAACCGAATACAAAGTAAGCTAACTCCCAATTATTTTTCCTTACTCTCAATTATTTTTTTTTACTGGGTACGTAAATAACATATTAATAATTAAATAAATAAATTAATTAAAAATAATTCACTACAGATCTTTGTTCAAGAAACTCTTAACAAACAAGTCGTTGACTGGATTGCAATGAAATATTTGCCATTCTCTTTTTTTGACGATAAACTTACTCAAGAACTAAATATTTGGCCTAATAACTTATAAAATTTATAAAATTTAATTCCTCAATTATAAATACTACTATTAATTACTCAAGAACTTTTCAATTATTTGAATCCGACCGCCAAATTACCTTTGCGAAAAGAACTTCATTCCTTAACAATGAAACGGTATTTTGAAATCGAAAACGTGGTTTTGAAAATTTTAAAAAGTAATAGTTCGAAAATTTCATTTACTCTGGACGGCTGGACATCTATTTCTAATCGATCCTATTTTGGAGTAACCGCTCACTTTGTCGATGAAACTTGGAAATTACACTCGCAAACTCTTTTCTTTATTCCTTCCAACGGCAAACACACAGGAAGGGAGATTGCAGAAACCTTTTACAAAGCACTTCATGATTGTGAAATATAAGACAAAATTCAAGGTGTTACCTTGGATAACGCGGCTGCCAACACGACATTTATGAATGAGTTATCCCGATTTATGAAATTTGATAAAGTGGATCAACACTTTAGGTGTTATACCCACATTTTAAATTTAGGAGCTCAGGATTTACTTAGTACTCTAAAACTAGACAAATTTTTGCGAGCAGAGAATCATGCTGAAAATTTAATTGATTGCAATTCGAACGATTTACACTCAGACGAAAATTTCCCGCTTGCAAAATTAAGAAAATTGTTTAAGGTCCTCAAACTTTCTGAGCAGTGGCGCATTAAATTGCAAAATTTTTGTAACATCACTGACGAAAAAATGTACGTACCAAACATGGATGTTTCTACTAGGTGGAATTCCACCTACACCATGATTCAGACTGCTCTCAAAATGCAACGCGCTTTAGTCTTTTTATGCGAAGTAAATGAACAATTAAAAAAATACTTGATTTTAGAACAAGAATGGTTATTGTTGAAAAAGATACTAAAAATTTTAAAGTGTTTTAAAGAATTAACGGAGATTTTAGGTGGAGAAAAATATGTAACTCTATCTTTGGTTGTAACTGGGTTTAATTTGCTCTTGGACCTAATTAATAAGCATATAGATAATCTTAGAGAGAAATCTGAATCCGATATGAGTATCGTCGATTATAACATTTTACAAGGATTTGAAATTTGCTTAAATAAACTGATGAAGCAC